TATGATATTTATTTTAAATGATTTTATAATTAATAAATATTAATTAGGTTAAATTATTGTTGATAAAAACAACATATCCATAAGTTCAATTTCCAGTGTAATTCAAAATAATTTTTTTATTTATATATGTGCAGTATATATTTTTTATTCTAAGTTCATTCAAAAGGGTTTATAAAAATTAAGTTTTCATGAATGTTCAAAAAGAGGGTTTAGAAGCACTTTAGGCCTTCAAGTGCAGTGATGTCATGCTACGTATAAGTGCATTTCCTACTTCAAGTAACGGTTTCAATCAATCCTTGAGAATTTATTCAAAAAAAAAGAAAAAGAAGGGTTTAGAAAAATGGTGTGATTTGTTGAGCAGAGAGTTTGTTTTGATTGATTAACAGAAGGGTTTGCTTCAGTCACAATTTTCTCAAACGTCCAATGCTGTTCTCATCCACTGGGACAAGATTCACATGTGATAATCAGCATGGACCCACTTACAGTTATTGTTAGAGATAATTACTTTAATATTAATTAAAATCAATCAAGTTAAAATTTATTGTTAACCTAATAATTCTTTACATCAAAATTTATGAATTTTCAAAAATTTAAGTCTAAGTTAAGATCATTAATAATAATTAATTTTTACATTTATATTTTAAATTCACTAATAATTTAGAGGTTCGAGACTATGATAGAGCTTTTAAAGAAGGTGTGATTTTGTTGAGTGAGAGTTTGTTTTGATTAATTAAGAAAAGGGTTTCGTACTAACTATCTATTAGTTTAAGTGGTAATTTTGAGTTTAAATTTTATAAATGAAAAGTTAAGTATTAAGAAAATTTTTCTCTCATGAAATTCGACACGCTTCAATTTTAAATTAATAAAAATTTAATATAATTACTGAATATCGCAAAGTTAATATAAAACAAATTAAGAATGGGGTTTGTATGATTGTATCTTACCTCATTAATCAAATTTTGAATTCTTTTATGATAAAGCCCTAACTAAATGCCAATTGAAGGGGAATTGAATTGGGGAGGGGGCGCCGGGTGGCCAGAGGGAGGGGACCTCATCTGGGAAGGGTTGGTGGTCGTGGTCACAGCTGAACCGAATAACTACGCACAGTACATATCAAGATAAAACGAAATCACTCCCCAACTATTCTATTTTCTTCGGCTTGAAAGTGATAGATCAATGAACATTGAGTCCTTGTATACTCAACTTGCAAAATAGAAAATTTTAAATTAAAATATAATTTAATAGTAAGAGATTCATCTTTTACTATTTAAATTATGCAATCTAACTTCAAACTCAGTTTTAAGGATTAAATTCATATATAAGTATTGTTTTATACTAAGTCATTCTTTAAAATATTTAAGTTTTGAACAAACATTTAAAATAATTAAGTTTTTTTAAATACACTAAAACATATGAAGACTGTGTCTTTAATTATATTTTTTTAAGGAAAAAAAAAACATTTGGTATAGTAGTTTGAAGATAATGATTAACAGTTTTATTTAAATCATTAAAAATAAATATTTTAATAAATTCGTTTATTTTTTAAACCATTACAAATTAAGTCTAAGTCTCAAAATATGATAAACTAATTCAATAATAATCTGATGGTTAAAAAATAAAAAAAACACACAAATGTTTAAATATACATGCAAGAGAACCATAACCCAAAATCTCTAAATTGAGTTTAACAATGGTAATAACACAAATAGGGGATGAATTCATGTCTAGAGTCTTGGTGGACCCACTAAATATACTTTTTATTTTAACTTAGGAATAAATAAAAATTTTAATTTTAAAAATTTACACTTAATCAGAAATATATCTTAGAGCAGTAAAAATATTGAAGAATGTTAGCACATCTAATCTATGGCCATTTCCATGGTTCAAACTCCTTCCTTGAGGATTCCCCCTTCCAAGCCATATATGTTTAATAAGGGGAGGCAGTTAATATCTTCCATTTTTCTCACTAATGATAATAATAGTTTCGATATTTATGACGCATATCAACAAATCAAACAGGAAAAGATTTTTT